CACACAAGCTGGATTCCATATTATCCTTTCTCACAGGGAAAATTTTTGCTCTAAATAGTTTGGAAACCAGCCTTGAACTTGTGATCTTTTCTGTCAAGTGCTCTATCAGCATGCCACGTTCCCTTAAAATCCCTATCTACATATTGAATGTGTTTCATGTTCTTTCTCTTTCTCATTATTCCATTTTGATGTGATTTGAAATCCATGACAAACAACATCTTTTGGCTTTTCATCTTCTAACGCAGTGTTATGACAAACTCCCCAAGATAAGCTAATATCAATCACACGAGAGCACGAAAAATATGAAGAGCACAAACACAAAGATATACGTGGTTCGGCTTGTAGCCTACGTCCACGGGCGAAGGAGGAGAAAACTTTACTAATTGTGAGGAATACAAAGTGGATCTCTCAATCACTCAATCCTAAATAACACCCCAAAAGCCTAATACAACTCTCAACTAAAGGAACAAAAGAGAAGAATATCAAATAGGCTTCACAAAAGAACTCTTCTTGATTGGTGCTCTGAAGATTGATGAATCTAATTAGCTCGAAAGACTGTTCTTCTATAGTCTTGAATATCCCTACTCTTTGTTGTCTAAGGAATAAAAGTTCTAATAGGAATAGAAGTCCACATGTCCTAAAAACCAATAAGAGTCCAAGTTGAAATAAACCTCTAATATGATTGGTTGTGCAAAGTCTAATGCAAGTAGGACTCTTGATCGAAACAAACCAACCTAAAAAGGAACTCCCAAAGCAGTATGGATTTGAGTATTTGAGGCAACCTACAACACACAGAGTAGACATAGCTAACTCAAAACTTCTCCAACCTCTTAGGAAAATATATGCGAAATTAATAAGAATGTTAGACATGGAAAAAACTACAGAGAGCTTTGGCTAAACTATAGGATGCATACTAAAACCCCCGATCACTGATGTTCATAGTTGTTATTGGTGGCACAAAATAACTGGATGGTATATTCTTGTCGGGAAGAAAGCTTCATTTACATTTGGTTTTCTCTTTCATGTGGAATGTAAATTAAAAATTGTGTTTATACTGGAAAATACACGGTGAAGATGTTTTTGCTTCCATATGATACTGCTCTCAGGGCTTAACCATGTTATTTTATCTATTAACTTGACCATGGAATATTTATTACTTATTATGGATCAAACAAAAGTTTTATCAATGTCAGCATAATTCAACTAAACAAACAAAAGAATTGTCCAGTATGCTCACACTATGCACTTTGCAGTCTGATTCCTCCATTAGTTTAACATGCTTTGATCCATCCCCAAAACATGGCACATCCAAAACAACAAAAGAAAACAACATATAATCATTTGTCTTTCATTGCCGTATTCCAACTAGGAAAATGGAATGACCAACATCGTGTCCAAGACCTTTAATTCGTTCTCAAGTGTTTATCTATAGTCATTGGACTGTATATTACCTACTCCAATGGCAACACTAATCTAATGTTCTTTGAAATGTTCCCTGAAAAATCGACTTCACAAACCGATGCTAATTTGTAAATGAAGTGCAGAAGTTTCCTAAATTATTGGTTAGAAAGAAATTTCACATTGTAATTTAGAGTTACTTGGTTGGTACATAATCAGTATTTACTCACTATTGTTATAACTTCTTCACATATGCTTGTTTTCCTCTTCATTGATGTTATTCACTGTTGTTTTCTATAAACACCTTGCTAGTATAGAAATATTTACGTACTATACGATTTCTTAACTTTTGACAACTCTGACTTTACAATTTGGTGTTGTTGCCGTCATTGTCCTTTGAATCTTTGTGAATTGTTGCCAGATTATTTTCGCCATCTCTGAATTGTTTCTTCTTCATATTTTCTTTACTAAAATTAACAGGTGCCTATGACTTGAGTCAAAAGAAAGGAAGTTTCCAACTTCATCCATCAAACTAAAGAAAAATAAAAAAGGGATACATACATGAAGAAAACAACAATTGAGAACGTAATTTACCGTCCAAATGATTTTGCTATTCAAATTGCATGATAGCATCTTGCAGGCACCAACTAATAAATACATATCAATAATAATTATACTAGTATATCACCTTCATTCCCTTGACTGTATCTTGACAGAATCCTGACCAATCGTCATTGCAGGCTCTGTAGCGCATTGGATACCACAGGGACCAATTCAAGCTCACCTGCACGCAAAGCGTACTCCTATAAGGTTAATAAAAGTCTTGTAGGCTGATGAGATCATCATGATGAATAGATTCTTCTCTCTTATTTTATCTAAATAACTTAAGAGGAAGCAAGGTTTAACATCTATAAACAAATTTACATAGCCATAAGAACGTAGCAAATTGCTTTCATCTGCACTTTATGTTACAGCATTGGAAACATGTTAGCCAACAAATCAGTAAATATTTTACTTCAGATTTATTACTTCCAAATTTATCGGCTTGGTGATTACGTTAGTGCATGCCTACAAAATTAAGGGTTAATTGTGGACAGACCCCCTATACTATAGCCCAATTGAGGCTGAACCTCATGCAGTTCTATTGTTGCAGATAGACCGTTCACTATTGCTAGTTGCGGATTAAACAACCCCCCCACCCCCCAACCCGAGAGTAATCTTTTTGACTCTTATCCCCTCAGGAGGTCTATTTGTCAAAAATTCTCTTTCTCTAAGGGTAAAGAGTCAACTAATTTCACTCAGGGGGTCCGTCTGGCAAGGGTTCTTCCACAATTGGGCAATAGTTCAGGAAGTCTATCCGCAATCAATCCTTTAATTAAAGCCATTGCTAGAAGATCATAATGGAAAAAACTCTGCTGTTGCCAACAGAATACACAATAATTTCAAATAAAGGCAAGATCTCTTGGCCGGCATTCAACTTTGTAAATGATATACAAGAACAAGAAGAGAACATATAAGAAAAGAAGTCTCCCCTTTGAATGGTTCCTCCTATACAACTCATGCATGCCTATATATAATGCACTCGTTCTCCCATATCAATCATCAATCAACCCAAACTTCATACAAACAAAATGGCCTCTAATGCATTTCTCATCATCGCTATAGTTCTTGCATCCTTTGTAGCTGCCAACGCCGCTGACCCTGACATTACCTCAGACTTTATAGTCCCGAATGGAATCAACCTTGATGCCAACTTCTTCACCTTCAAAGGACTCAAAAACTCTCTACGGGGTGCCTCAAAAGATGCGCCCTTTAAGGTAACTAAAGCAACCGAGATCGAGTTCCCTGCACTAAAGGGACTAAGTGTCTCCTATGCTTCACTTCAGTTTGCTCCTAATGGCATCAATCCACCACACACTCATCCCCGCTCTGCTGAGCTCCTCCTCGTTGTTCAAGGATGGCTCGAGGTTGGTTTTGTTGATTCGAACAATACGTTATTTACTCAGATTCTTGGCACCGGGGATATGTTTGTGTTCCCTAAGGGACTAGTTCACTTTCAAGTGAACAAAGATCACAAGTACCCTGCTGTTGCTATCTCTGCATTTGGAAGTGCTAATGCTGGCACTATAGTGATTCCAAAGACACTGCTTGCTAGTGGTATCGATAAGGAGGTTCTTGCAAAATCCTTCAAGACTGATGGTCAAACCGTCAACAAGCTTGTTTGGGCTGCCACATCAAACTAATTTGTCTCGAACTTTTATGAGGAGGTTGCTTGCAGGAAATATGTTTCCAGGATTGAATTTGTTTGTTGTGTTTGATGCTGTTGTATTGCATCATTATTCGAAATTGTTGTTCTAATTTACCCATGCTTTCTATTAAACGAAGCGTTTGTTCTTGCAAACAAGCAATCTATGTTGTCACGTTGCATCGATGTGAAAATGTCGTAGTACATGCACAATGCATGCTGATACTCAAGAACTTCGCGTTCAAAAACTGGACTTCAGAATTCTGAGGCATTTCACGCTTGAACTGAACTGGGCAAACAGAGTGCAAAACACAGAAGGTATACAAAGTTTCACAGGCAATATAGCAAATACCTTTAGTGCATGGATTCAATATGCTATCATACACTAAAATAGGATTGATCTGGCCTGGTTTTATTCTAAAATAGGCTGGGGTTATTCTATATGGAGATAATTTGGAAAACAACCTGTTTAAAGGCCAAAGTTTGGCTTTAAAAATTCGGGAATTGTTTTATCCGAACACAAAATAAGAAAAATTGGGTCAGGTTCAATCTGACCTAGTTTTAAGCAATCGCCGAACACATCTTAAAAATAACTTAAATATGTGAATTCCAAAATATGCAAAAAAAAAATATAAACTAGCATAAGACAGTTTTCTATATCAAAAAGAAGAAGACTAACCTGACTTGTTGGTCTCCAAGATAAAAAAAAAACAATTTCTTTGGTACGGTAACGTAATTCTCCGCAGGAGAGAGAAACTCCATCCGTTGATCAAAATATCCGAAACAATTGAAGATAGTATTGATTAATTTGCAAAAGATAACGAGATAAATGTACTGAAAACTAAGATTTTAAGAGACTGGGGACTAACAAGTAGAAGTTCCTCGATGCAAATTTAATATGTGATTTTAGTAGCCACGGAGGGCCTTTGTGCAAAAGGGCACAATGTTATTATGAGCTTCTCACTGGATCTCTCTCCCCCGCGAAAATGACGAACGCTCTTTCTTTCTCGTCCGCTGGCGGCTGCGCCGCCAACTCCACCACCGTCGGAGGCGGCGGAGATGTCAACGTAGAGAAGCGATGCGATTTCTATCTCTCAAAGAAGCGGCGTTACTGCGCGAACTCCCCGCTTCCTGATTCCAAGTAAACCTCCAAAGCCCTAAACCGCTAATTCTCATCATTTTTCTCCAAAAAAAAAAACCCTAATTTTCATCTTTGATTGTTTAGGTTTTGTGGGAACCACAACCCTTCCTCTAAATCTCGCAGGGTCCCCTGCCCCATCGATCCTTCACAGTTAAGACCTTCTCTATAACCGTAACTGATTTAACTATTGAGATTTTTTTGGGGGGTATTTTAGCTCAATGTGGCTGAACTGGGGGGTCAATTAGCAAATATCTAGTTTTGAGGGGTAAATTTTGTGACGTGATCGATTCAGGAGCATGTAGGTAACAACACTGGTATTGAGATTGATTATTTTTGTGCAGTTCTGTGTTTAGGGAGAACTTGGATGCCCATGTGAAGAAATGCCCATTGAAGAAACAAGTGGAAACCTTAGAAACACAGCCCTACTACTCTAAAGGGATTAATGCTGGGGTTTTAGGAGGGGAGAACGTCGGGTCGGAGGCAAAGAGGAGGGCCATTCATGAGATGAGTGTGAGTGAATTCAATGAGCTTGTTGGAAAGATTAGGGCTTTTCATTCGGCCTTGAGAGTTGAGCTGAGGGAATCTTTTGTGGAGCCTGATGCTTGCAAGAAATGGATAAATCAGCAGGTGGATAGGTAATATTTGGAAATTTTTGGATTTTCTTCTTAAATTCCTTGAATGATATTGCTATTTGTCATCAAAAGATGAACTTGCACAGCTATCTGACATCCCCTACTTATTATGATAATGCACAAAGTTCGTGAAACCAAGCAGCAGAAAGTTTTAACCTTTGATATCGCTCGGTAATATTTGATACAATTGTATTTTGTGAATGTAACACTTCCCCTGATAACGTACTGAAACCTATGAATTTTTAGTAGCATGTTTGACTTTATGTGGTAGAATTAATTGGTTAGGACCGGTTCAAGTGAATATGTGGGTTCAGTTCAAGGATTTCAATATTTTTTATAATTTGACGATGCTTGTTGGCAGACAAGTGCCATATCAAGAGAAGCATGTGATGCAGCAGGTTTCAATCATTGGAAACATGGAAGAATATGGAATTCTCAGAAAAACCGATGAGTCGGTCTTTGGAACAAATTGTCAGCAAACGATAGAAGTCGATGGTTGTGGAGATGAGGATAATAGCCCAGCAGTGGTTGAATTTGGAGCAGGGAGAGGGTACTTAACTCACATGCTTGCTGATTGTTATGAAACGAAGAAGATATTTTTGGTTGAGCGCAGGTCTTACAAGCTCAAGGTTAGTATTATCTTCTCACCAGAAGTCTGTCAAGTACTTAGTTATGTAACTTTCTTTTAACGTGTTATGCACACTGATAGTTGGCTTGGGATCAAATCAAACGAAGACGTATTATTGAGATTACTCAATTAGGATTAAATTATTTGATTTAATACCCTAAGTTGTAAAAAAACTGGCACATTATTACCATTTATTAGTTGAATGTGGGAATATTCCTTGGAATAGTCCCATGTGATGAGCACATGACATTTTTATAATTGTATATTGACCCCGTTTATTGTCATCTATCTTGAACAAATTATAAGTGTCATCTATCTTGAACAAATTATAAGTTTAGTCCAGTTTTTCTCATTCTTTTACATGAAAATTTTGTTTTATCTTGTAACTCTGTGTCTTCATGCTCTTTCTTTTAAGGCCTTCAGTTTGATGCTACACTTGCATGCTTTAATACCAAAATTCTTGTCTTGAGCATTTTCTATCTATTTAATATCTGTTAAGACCCCTTGTCACTTGGTTATCAAAATATCTAAATTTTATTTTGGAAATCATTTACTCAAAAACTATTACGACGGTTTAGCTTGAAGTTTCCCTTTGGCAAAAAGATTTTGCTATGAAACCATAAATCATATAGTAAAACTGACCCACCATTCCATCCCAACCCCTACCCGCACCGTACCCCCCAATATATAACAGGAAACAACGAAAAGAAAAGACCATGAAGAAGACACCCAATCATAGGAGACAAGCATCTTCAACAGCACATACACATACAAGCACACCTAACTAAAGAAGAAATGCAATGATCGACCAATGCATATACTACCTTGGATGCATTCTAATCTTTATTTATTAACTAACTTTTTCTGTTTTAATTTAGGCTGATCGAAGTCTCCGTCAAAAGGATAATTTAAGCTTAGAGCGATTGAGAATTGACAGTAAGCCTATTTGTTCCTTGTAACTATGTTCTTCCACGTTATTTCATTCATCAAATTGGATATAGCCTTTCTCTTCACATAAAGGGTTAAGACCCGAAAGTTTTAAACTCCTGTGCCTTGAATTACAAGTTCTCCATGTTCTTCCTTAAGGATAGCTTTTTCTTCAATTTTTTCCCCTCTTTGCATATTTTTTTTATTAAGGATTAATGTTAGAGATCCAGCTTTGAACATATGTGGCCTTTCCGAACTGATCTTATGCAGAATGCTTGTGTTGGTTATGGGATTTGGTTTTGTCTGATAGTAAGCTAAGTGAGATTAGCTTTTTAAAGTGATTCCACATGCCCGATGTGTGTAGAACACATAAACTTTATGCCTCTTGCCCAACACATAGTAAACATGTGGGAATCCTGTTGAATTTCAGAGAACCAAATTTGGGCTCTTAAATTAGATGAATATTTGCACAAACATGACCTATAGAGGTGGTGGAATCGCTGTATAGTTTTTCCTTCTCAGGTTAAAGAACTCCATGGCTGGATTGGCTAGAAGTATCGAGATCCATGTATGCACATTTACAATAAGAAGGAGAGGCGATGGAATTTATCTGAATCAAAGAGACCAATACAATTTCTAGGGAAAGCTGTATAGGTTATCTTCGTGTGCTGGATATGGTAAAACAACAGTCCTGTTTTACTCTCAATATTTATCTTCTCTTCAGAGAATACTAAGGTCTAGGATTCTTGTTTGGGACGCTATCTTTCTGTGTACAGTTGTCCTTAGTAGTTGAATTTTTTGTCTTATTTTTTGGGAGGCGGTGATAAGTCTGATATGAGAGTAAAGAATTCAAATAGGGAATGTTATCTTAAGTAAGTTTTAGAATATAATATTATGTTTTCACAACTTTAGCAAAAGAAACTGTGAAATAATATATATCTATTGTTCTTGTTGTGCCGTCAGAAGCTTCCTAGTAACAGCTATTGTAATTATTCTCTAAATGGAGGCCGTAGCTTTTGCAATTATTATTTTCAAGTGATATATTTTCAATTTTGTATAAGATGTAGTTTCTTTATTAAGTTGGATTTTCTGTTTGTCATTACATTTGCATCTTTTGCATCCATCTAAACAGTAATCTCAAACTTTGCAGTAGAGGATTTGGATCTGCATGGAGTAGAATCTTTGAAGGGACATAAATACCTGGCCATTGGAAAACATTTATGTGGACCTGCTACTGGTAAAAGTTATTTTAAAAATTAAAATGTTTAATATTTTGCAATCTGCACAAATTTCTCTGTATTTGAAGTGCATAACATCTGGAACGCACTGTTCTATGTAGATTTGGCCATAAGGTGTTGTATTCCGGAACGCCAAAGCATTAACAAGGAACTTCTTTCCAATGGATGTCGTATGCGAGGTTTTGCCATAGCAACATGCTGCCACCATCTTTGCCAATGGAAGCATTACATAAGTAATTTCCTTCATACATGCATTTAGTTAATTCATTTGTTTTCAATTTACATTTGGGACAAAGGCTTAGTTGTTGTTACTTCCAATTTCCTCCTATTGTAAATTCAATTTAACATGTTACACGTAAATTATGTAATCCTACACTTGCTTTGCATAGGAGTTAGCTAGAAAGAAGGGAAAAAAAAGTTTATTCAATCTAACCTGTTATCTAGGTATCTGTGCTTTATTTTGCTTTATTGCATGTTGTTAAGCATATGACGTTGAGACCATATCTTTCTTACAGTGGTGTTCCTTTTAGTCCATTCGGCATGTCAATTTATGGAATAGAAAAACTTAAGTTGATTAAAATATGTAACACCATACTTACTTGTGAAGTTACCTAGTATTTTGAAGGAAATGATGCTTAATGAAGACACCATAGAAATCTTCTTATTTTCTCTCATTTGCTGTTTATAGATACAAATTTCATGTCCAACATGGGGATAACAAAGGAGGATTTTGATGCTATTTCATGTTGCAGCTGGGCTTGTAGATGGAAACCACAGGCTCTGATGACGTTTCCTCAGTGACTGATCAGAAAATGCATCTTAACACCTGGTAAGCTTTCTTATTCCTTGAGCTTTGGTCCATAAATAAATGACAAGCTCCTCCATGAACATTAGAGTTAATTTGATCATACACCCTACGAAGAAATTAGGCAATTTCTGTTGTTCCAAAACCATTGCCTCTGATATTTTACATGCTTTCAGTTTCGTTTCTCACAAGCCTTTACCTGTTTCTTTGAAAGCAGTAGTTGAACCTCTTAAATCACTAGGTTTCTTAAAAATGTCAGACATATAGCGTATTGTATTTGTCATTGATGTTATTAGTTTTGAACCACCTGGATTTTTTTTGATCATTTCATCTGGGTTTACATAAAGTAGTGAGGCGAAGCAATCTGATTCTGAGCACAAAGGAGTTGAAGAAACTATCCGAAGCATGCAAGCGGCAGAGAGGGCTGCTATAGGCTTCATTTGCAAAGAGATCATTGATATCGGAAGATTGATGTGGCTGAGGGATAATGGATTGCATGCCCAAATTCTGAAATATGTGCCATCAAATATTTCTCCTGAGAACCATCTCTTACTAGCAAAATGTATCTCCTAGACAAAATTTTGGCGAATGCATAGTTATTTAGCAATATGAAAGAGTTCATTTATTAAAAACTATTACTATGAAGTCGTCATTATCTGTCGAAAATCATGTAAGAAGAAATCAGGAGGAAGCTTTTTGTGCTACGGGTGACTGGTGATTCTTTACCTGTCAAAAGATTATGTTAGTTTCACCTAACCATAGCTAACTTAAGTTGACTAAACTGCCTTCACTTACCACTAACATAGGCAATATCAGGACAGGTTTCTGCTAAATTTGATTAATCCAGCTGACGTTTAAATATGTGAAAAGAAAAAATGTGTTTAGGATTTAAAATATGGGACTAATGGAGGGGACAGGTGATGTATCCCCTTCCTATTGCATAATGAGCTGGTCATGTCCCCTCCATCCCCTTTACCTGTCAAAAGATTATGTTAGTTTCACCTAACCATAGCTAACTTAAGTTGACTAAACTGCCTTCACTTTACCACTAACATAGGTAATATCTGGACAGGTTTCTGCTAAATTTGATTAATCCAGCCGACGTTTAAATATGTGAAAAGAAAAATGTGTTAAGGATTTAAAATATGGGACCAATGGAGGGGATAGGTGAGGTGTCCCCCTCCCTATTGCATAATGAGCTGGTCAAGTCAGCTCATTATGCAATAGGAGGGGGACATCTCACATGTCCCCTCCAATTGTCCCATATTTTGGGTCCCTGTAGCGGCGCAGACATGAGAATTTTGATGCGTGAATTTCAACCACGCGAAACAAGAATTTTGACAATGAATCCTCCTGTGATCCCCCACATCTGAAACTAAAACTAGCTTCTCACAAAACAGGATAATATCAAACCTGGTGCTGCGCAAAATCGAGCACAGGAAACAACAACTCAATCAACCAGAGATTGCAGGAAACGTAACAAAGTTCTTTTAGATTAAATCTGAAGCTGAACCATAACATCAGGCTCCAAGAGCAACAACCCGGAAGTATCTATTTCAGCACGACGTAAAAAGGTCAGTGACCCACGACACGCGAAAGCATCAGACCAACGAATAGTATTAAGGCCTGGAAGGCCATCAAACCAAACAAGCTAAAAGATCAACGAGGCATGAAGCGAGCGGATATCTTTTGTTTTCTTCTTCTATATCGATTCTTGCCTTGATTTAGGCTGCAGGCTTCTCCCACTTGAGAGGCTTGACAATCTCCCACTTGATGCGTCGTCCCTACCGAAGTGTCCGTACGCCGCCGTCTTCAAGAACCTTGAATTGCCTCCCCTCTTCAAGTCGAGGTTGATGGTGATCATCCCGGGCCTGAAGTCAAAGTTCTCCTTCACGATCTTCAAGATCTCCTTATCAGGGATTTTACCGGTGCCATAAGTGTCGACAAACACTGACAATGGCTCCGGCACACCAATAGCATACGACACCTGGACGATGCAACGGCGAGCAAGCCCACTGGCGACAATGCTCTTCGCTGCCTGCCTCACAATGTAGGCGCCGCTCCTGTCGACCTTGGTGGGGTCCTTGCCTGAGAAAGCACCACCTTCCTATTGCATAATGAGCTGGTCATGTCCCCTCCATCCCCTTTACCTGTCAAAAGATTATGTTAGTTTCACCTAACCATAGCTAACTTAAGTTGACTAAACTGCCTTCACTTACCACTAACATAGGCAATATCAGGACAGGTTTCTGCTAAATTTGATTAATCCAGCTGACGTTTAAATATGTGAAAAGAAAAAATGTGTTTAGGATTTAAAATATGGGACTAATGGAGGGGACAGGTGATGTATCCCCTTCCTATTGCATAATGAGCTGGTCATGTCCCCTCCATCCCCTTTACCTGTCAAAAGATTATGTTAGTTTCACCTAACCATAGCTAACTTAAGTTGACTAAACTGCCTTCACTTACCACTAACATAGGCAATATCAGGACAGGTTTCTGCTAAATTTGATTAATCCAGCTGACGTTTAAATATGTGAAAAGAAAAAATGTGTTTAGGATTTAAAATATGGGACTAATGGAGGGGACAGGTGATGTATCCCCTTCCTATTGCATAATGAGCTGGTCATGTCCCCTCCATCCCCTTTACCTGTCAAAAGATTATGTTAGTTTCACCTAACCATAGCTAACTTAAGTTGACTAAACTGCCTTCACTTACCACTAACATAGGCAATATCAGGACAGGTTTCTGCTAAATTTGATTAATCCAGCTGACGTTTAAATATGTGAAAAGAAAAAATGTGTTTAGGATTTAAAATATGGGACTAATGGAGGGGACAGGTGATGTATCCCCTTCCTATTGCATAATGAGCTGGTCATGTCCCCTCCATCCCCTTTACCTGTCAAAAGATTATGTTAGTTTCACCTAACCATAGCTAACTTAAGTTGACTAAACTGCCTTCACTTACCACTAACATAGGCAATATCAGGACAGGTTTCTGCTAAATTTGATTAATCCAGCTGACGTTTAAATATGTGAAAAGAAAAAATGTGTTTAGGATTTAAAATATGGGACTAATGGAGGGGACAGGTGATGTATCCCCTTCCTATTGCATAATGAGCTGGTCATGTCCCCTCCATCCCCTTTACCTGTCAAAAGATTATGTTAGTTTCACCTAACCATAGCTAACTTAAGTTGACTAAACTGCCTTCACTTACCACTAACATAGGCAATATCAGGACAGGTTTCTGCTAAATTTGATTAATCCAGCTGACGTTTAAATATGTGAAAAGAAAAAATGTGTTTAGGATTTAAAATATGGGACTAATGGAGGGGACAGGTGATGTATCCCCTTCCTATTGCATAATGAGCTGGTCATGTCCCCTCCATCCCCTTTACCTGTCAAAAGATTATGTTAGTTTCACCTAACCATAGCTAACTTAAGTTGACTAAACTGCCTTCACTTTACCACTAACATAGGTAATATCTGGACAGGTTTCTGCTAAATTTGATTAATCCAGCCGACGTTTAAATATGTGAAAAGAAAAATGTGTTAAGGATTTAAAATATGGGACCAATGGAGGGGATAGGTGAGGTGTCCCCCTCCCTATTGCATAATGAGCTGGTCAAGTCAGCTCATTATGCAATAGGAGGGGGACATCTCACATGTCCCCTCCAATTGTCCCATATTTTGGGTCCCTGTAGCGGCGCAGACATGAGAATTTTGATGCGTGAATTTCAACCACGCGAAACAAGAATTTTGACAATGAATCCTCCTGTGATCCCCCACATCTGAAACTAAAACTAGCTTCTCACAAAACAGGATAATATCAAACCTGGTGCTGCGCAAAATCGAGCACAGGAAACAACAACTCAATCAACCAGAGATTGCAGGAAACGTAACAAAGTTCTTTTAGATTAAATCTGAAGCTGAACCATAACATCAGGCTCCAAGAGCAACAACCCGGAAGTATCTATTTCAGCACGACGTAAAAAGGTCAGTGACCCACGACACGCGAAAGCATCAGACCAACGAATAGTATTAAGGCCTGGAAGGCCATCAAACCAAACAAGCTAAAAGATCAACGAGGCATGAAGCGAGCGGATATCTTTTGTTTTCTTCTTCTATATCGATTCTTGAAGTCTGCGTCGTCCCTACCGAAGTGTCCGTACGCCGCCGTCTTCAAGAACCTTGAATTGCCTCCCCTCTTCAAGTCGAGGTTGATGGTGATCATCCCGGGCCTGAAGTCAAAGTTCTCCTTCACGATCTTCAAGATCTCCTTATCAGGGATTTTACCGGTGCCATAAGTGTCGACAAACACTGACAATGGCTCCGGCACACCAATAGCATACGACACCTGGACGATGCAACGGCGAGCAAGCCCACTGGCGACAATGCTCTTCGCTGCCTGCCTCACAATGTAGGCGCCGCTCCTGTCGACCTTGGTGGGGTCCTTGCCTGAGAAAGCACCACCACCGTGGGCTCCCCATCCACCGTAGGTGTCGATGATGATCTTGCGACCGGTGAGACCGGCATCACCATGGGGACCACCGATGACAAAGCGGCCGGACGGGTTCAAGTGGAAGATGGTCTTCTCGTCGAGGTACTTCTCAGGGATGACGGGCTTGATAACGTGCTCCTTGAGGTCAGCGGCGATCTCATCGTTAGTGACAGTCTCGTCGTGCTGGGTGGAGATGAGGACGGTGTGGACACGAAGGGGAACCATGGCACCATGGTCGTTGCGGTACTCAACAGTGACTTGGGTCTTCCCGTCAGGTCTTAGCCACGCACAAGTTCCATTCTTGCGGACCTCAGTCAACCGAGCACCGAGCTTGGTGGCAAGAACATGACTGAGGGGCATGAACTCAGGGGTCTCATCTGTGGCATAGCCAAACATGTGACCTTGGTCACCAGCACCAATCTCTTCTGGTCTCTTGGTGAAGTGGCCGTGGACACCCTGGGCGATATCAGGAGATTGCTGCTCGATGTTGACAAGGACTTTGCAGTTGTCAGCGTCGAGACCGACATCATCAGAGACAAACCCGATGGATTTGCAGGTGTCACGGACGATCTTCTCATAGTCGACATTGGCCTTGGTAGTGATCTCACCAAAGACCATGACCATGTTAGTCTTGGTGCAGGTCTCACAGGCGACCTTGCTGTCGGGGTCCTGGGCGAGGCAGGCATCAAGAACAGCATCAGAGATCTGGTCGCAGAGCTTGTCGGGGTGACCCTCGTTGACGGACTCGGAGGTGAAAAGGAAGGTGTCGGCCATTTCTTATAGCTGAGAGAAAGAGAACCATAAATTTTGTTTTAGAAATAAGTTTTTTACAGTCTAAATAGTTGGCTACTGTTTCATTGATTATTTCACAAAACAAAGGGCATATTTATTAGCTAACTGATAAAGATACAGAAATACACAAAGGCTAGAGTATAAATAAATAAATAAAATCAAAATGCATTTCTGATGAAAAGCCTAGCATGTGAAATCTCCAACAACAACAGTGTCGGTTCACGCTTATAACTTCCTATCAAATTGAACAAAATTTAATTTTTTTTTAAGTACATATCCTTTAAATTGAAATGGTATTAGAAGCTCCACTATTTCCCTAAGGCTCTAATGAGGATCAAGTTATAATGAAGGTTCTAATGAAGATCAAGCTATACGTGCACGACGCATAACAGAGTCCCCTTCAAAAAATCTTACACTAGATGGAGAAACTCCAAAGTCACAAAATACAACCTTTTTTTTTGAGAGAGAGAGAGAGAGAGAGAAAAAGAGCCAACAAGATTATGCGCTAGAGACAAGTATCAAATGACGGCGAGAATAAAGGAAAACGAGTCCAATAAAGGAGATCGCTTTTTAATTTCTACTGTTAATAGGAACCCGAAAGCAAAGAATAACAAGATAAGCATGAGACAAGTAAAGATCACCCGAAAGCATACAATGACGCAATAACACGTCGCGGCCCCACTAAAGCAAGAAGAAGCGTGATATTTTCCACGAATCAAGAATTTAGAACAAAATTGCATAACCTTTACAAATCAAGAGTTATCAAAGCAGCAGCTAAGAGTTAGAAACATTTGTTTACAATTCAGGCTAGCAAAGCTCAGATCTGGTACAGGAAATCTACAGATCTGGACGCTTTGCTCCGAAACACTAGAACAACGCCCTAGATCTGTTCAGTTGCGAGCTAGAAAACCTCGAGAACACTTCAAAAATCTCAAATTTACATAAAACCTCTGCAAATCTACAGATCCGGATTAAATATATCCAGTCTAGTGACTAATGCATCATTCTTCGTGAATCTCCAACAGGAAAACAACAAGATATTCCCCCAAAAAAAACCTTAAAACACAGCGAGAATAAGCTTAAATCTCCTCAAATCAACCAAGAAAGAGCTCAAAATTTCTGATTTTCTTTAAACCCTAGCTCTACGATTCGAGCAGTATAAGTAAGAACGAGATCTCTATCTCTACAAACAAAATGAGGATCGAAATAAATAATAAATTAATTAAAAAATAGAGATGATAACTGACCTCGGAGGGGGCTAGAATCCTTCGGTTATTATTCGAGAGAGGAAATATAAAAAACCCTCCTTTTCACAAATCTATCCCTTCGCCCTGAGACCCGTATTTATAGAGGAAAATCTCTCGGGGGTCAAGATCGACCGGTAGATCCGGTGCGTTGGAAGCTGCCCGGGGGAGGGGTCACCGGCTGTAGTCGGTAAAATTAGGTGGGAACGGGACCACGCTACCGACGTAGACCGTCGATCATTCCCCCTTTTCTCTTTTTCTGGGCTAGATTCGCTACTTGGGAATTGATCCGGTGGGTTGAGTAAAATAAGCAACAGCTCAATGGTTAAGGATTTATTTATTTATTTTGATCTGATATTGAGTGGTTTGTTTAGCTCATTATAAGTTAGGGTTGGGCTACACATATCACAGGAGGTTGTTTCTATATTCAGGGCATGTTCGACTATTGCTTATTTTATTTATTTTTTATTTACTTTACTAGAGGACAAAACATATTCTTTTGATATCAATAAGTAGTTTCAAAATTTAGTTTGGAAAATCCCAATTTATTTTTGTTTTACTTATGGGTTAAAAATAAGTAATAAGTCAACCATTATCAAACATGATTTTGGTACCTAATAAACTAGTTTACGGGCCGTGCAAAGCACGTTTTTTTTTCTACAACAGTAATCCCTTTTTTTTAAATATGGCATGATTTGAATTTTTGGAAGTGCTACAGTATCCCGCTCTTCTACAGTACTTTTTAAATGTTACAGTATACCCGTGTGCTACAGTGATATTTTAAATTAATTATTAGCTGCAGTAGTAATGCTACTGTAGCATGAACAGTGAATCTCAGATCCTCCTATTTGTATAAAGGAATAGATAAAAAAGATACTTAAAAGTAAAAAAAATAAGAATATTGCCAAACATGCTCTCATCAGCTTAGGTGCTTACGGGGAGATGGGACTCAAGAACCCAAATTGTATTATGACATAGAGTATAGGAAATAAGATGCTCTATGTCAACATAACATCTAAAATTTAATATAATTTTCCTCTGTATGGTTCATAATGTCCCGCTTGTTAGAGTATAAGGATACAATTTATTGACTAATATTAAAGAAAATAACTTTTTATTAGATTTTACAGTATCATAAATTTAAAATAAATTATCTAAGCATAGGTTGATTCATTAACTCTGTGTCGTCTCACTATACATTATTAGATTTAAAATTCCCATGTATTTTTGGCAAATAATTCATTGTTTCCAATATTATTTATAAAGTGCCTTTGGATGGCCCAAACCACTTTCGGGCTAAACAGATCTTAATTAGGGGAGGTGCAGCCATCTTGACCTGGATTAAGATCGAAGGTTGGTCTTTATACTACTGATTTAAATTCTAGTTTAGTTTTTTTCCTAAACCAAAACAAGATTTAGTGTTTACACGATGAAACCTATCACTGCATGATCTGGAGACCATGAATTCGCGTCTAGAAATGATCTCTTACAGAAATGCAAGATAAGACTGCATATAATATATCCAAAATGGTTCGACTCCTTTTGTCGGATCCCACGCATTGCAAGGACCTTTAACTGACTTGGTTTGATAGGGGGTTATAAGGAGGAAATGTGAAGTGTAAGGAATGACGTATTTTGCACTGATCGTCTCGCTAGCGGAAGGGCCATGTGAGGTACATGACTTTTTCTTGTTTGGTTGATGAGCTGGGAGTGAGCGGTGAAATGATGAGCTGGTTAATGTACAATGATAACCTTTTGCGAGAATATTTTTAAAACTATATTAATAAGGCTGTTTATGATTTACCTTGAGATTGTTCATGAATCATCAAAACAGAGGATAAAAGAAATAGATGAAAGGGGTCAAAAATATATATATAAATCAACCACCTATGATTTATCAAAACAAAAGAGAAAATAAATTAATTAATTAATAAAAGACCCTATTTACTTGAGGGCGATCAAAATAATACAAATTTCCAGGGAGGCCCCAAGTCATACGTCAAGGCCCTGTTTACTTGCAGGTATAGGAGACGATCAAAATAATGCGGCCCATTTAACATATATATAATTATTGGGTTTATTAACGCGGGAACGCATTGAACCCTAAACCCTAGCGAGCTCCGCCATGGCCGAGCTCAACCCCAGTCTGCGATGGCGTCTTCAAGCAGGATCTTACCTCGGCGAGATCTCAGCCCTCTGTTTCCTGCCTCTTCCCTCCAGCCTCTCTCCTTACCCCATTCTCCTCGCCGGTACTCTCTGTCTCTCATCGTTTTCTCTCTCCTCACTTATCTCTCTCATCACTCTCTCTCTCTATGTTTACAGGATCAGGATCGGAGATCCTAGCGTACGACGTCAAGTCGGGGGCTCTCCTCAGATCTTTCCACGTTTTTCAAGGGATCCGAGTCCATGGAATTTCGCTCAGGTCAGTGGACCAGAAGGGGGAGGTTTTGCATTGCTCGGTCGTTGTTTATGGGGAGAGAAGAGTGAAGCTCTTTAGATTGGAGTATGATGTGAAGGCGGGCATTGAGATGGAGTTGGTTGGTCAGCTGCCGAGGTTCGATCACTGGGTCCTCGACACTCGCTCCTTGAAGGTGGCATTTTCTTACTTTTTTTTTTAATTTCTCTAATTGGTTGATTGTTGCAATTCGGAACGAAGTATAATAGAGGCACTTTCTAATGCCGAGCAAAAGCTTAAAATTTGTAAGCTGGGGTTAATACTAGTTAGCAAATACGAAGATTTGGACTAAAAGCTGATGAATTATGCATAAGTTGTTTGGGTATTAGTTAGCAAATGCGAAGATTCGGGATGCCCTTTAAAGAAAATAGAGAAGACGAATCACATTTCCGTACTCTAGCGCCGAAACAAAGAGCATAAGAGCACTTAATATTCCAATGCGGGTGACCTTCCTTCAGCAACAAATAAGACTTGTCAGTAACTTGAAGCGATAACACATGTTGGGTGGTACTGGAGTTATAATACCAAGTATTTTATGCGTAGGTCGTAGATGCGTATCCATTGAGTCAAGAATGGTTCTTGAAATATTGTAATACTTGAATTTCTGTCTAATGACCAAGTAGCAATCTAATTTTAAAGAGCTCTTCTGTCATTTTGTTTCTGCAATAATCAGAGAGTAATGTGATTGTGCCTTCATCCTTGACGGATGGTACTTCGTTTCCGTTCTGGGTGCCAGGAAGATGATTGTCTTGCAGTGGGGCTCAGTGACAACTCGGTTGCTCTATGGGATATGAATAATCCTGATACACTCCTTCGAGTGAAATCTTCAGGTTCGCTGACATTCTCAGTTATCTCTTCCAAGTGATCTTATTTAAGGTTGCATTGTTTCCACACTTTCCTTTCGTCTCAAGGAAAGTTAGTTGATGTTCCCCCCTTCAATTCAAGGACTCTATTTCTTTTCTATGCTTTTTCAGAAAGGTCCCTTCTTTATTCTATGCGAATCTGGGGTGATAGTTTAGAGGCCCTCCGCATAGCATCAGGAACTATCTACAATGAGGTAAGTACTATTCTGCCATATTTATTATGATATGTTCGATGTTGTCATTGATCTGAAGTCATGCTGCATGCATAAGGGAGGGGAAATGCAATAGTAGTTATGCATAGTATGGTCGCTTTGTGGAATTGTGGACCTTTGTCCACTAAAGAGCTCTTTTAGCATGGTAGTATATGTTTGCATCTGTCTGTTGATGTCTACAACATCCATTATTCTTTACAAAATTACTGAAAGTTCGAGCCCTCACAGCTGGTTTTTGTTTCCACAGATTATTGTTTGGAAGTTGATTCCTCAGGATCTGCTTCCATCTTCTTCATGTTTGATTGGTTTGACAAATAGATGCACGTCTGACTATGATGAAGTTCAATTTCATGGTCAACAATACATATCTGTTTTTTTGAGCAGACTTACTGGTCATGAAGGTTCAATATTTCGCATAGCTTGGTCCTCTGATGGGTCAAGATTGATGTCAGTTTCTGATGATCGCAGGTGAACTGACTGCTTATTTTCATCTATTGTTTTCTTTTTAAGTACCATTATGTTTTATTGACTTAGTTGTGCTTAGCCCATTTTCTCTTTCATTGTTAGGACAGTGCTCGCATCTGGATAATTAGTGGTCCAAATCAAGCTCCTTGTGTTTTAACGGAGACTTATCGCTGCAATTTATCGCTTGATCTTGTGCTGTTTGGCCATAATGCTCGAATTTGGGATTGTTATATCTCTGAATCTGTAAGATAGTCTTTGAAATGTATTCATTTTGGCTGTTTTTTTATTGCCTTGTATCTATGTGCATTGATGCATGCACATCTCTATTATAAATTTTTCATCACCTGTCACACTCTTCATTTTACTAAACTGCTGCATGGATTTTACATTTTATGTTAGGAGTATCAAATGTTTTTGATGTTTTACTTGTTCGCTTTATTTTTCAATGTTGGAGGATTTTTCTTAGTCTCAGTACACCAACCTTAAACATTTCATAGTTTTTTTAGTTTAGACCACCCTTCATATATAGTTTAATGGAACAACATGAGTGCCTGTCTTCATGAGTTAGAAATGCTTCTCTAAACTGGAGAAGAGTTGGTATTTAATATGACAATAATATGATTGATATTGTTCTTACAAGACATGCTTCAGAAGGCTCATAGGATGATTCATCTGAATCATTAGCAGTGTAAAGAGATGTGACATGTGTGATCTACTTTTCACTCTCTGAATGTCCTATCAGGCTGAAATGTTCACGGTAATTTTTCACTCTCTGAACATCTCATGTTTCTGAAGATCTTGCTGCCTCGTTCTTGTCCTGTATGATAAATAACTTTTTATAATTTAA